AAGTATTGGTGTATATAAACTTTCAATACATTAAACAAGTAATGGAAAATAAAAAAAAGAAATTATGTTGAAACTTAACTATTCATCACATTAGATTTGAAATAGTAGTTGCAGTACATTAATATTTTATTGAATCATTTAATTCATATGCATATTTAGATACCTAATTAACAGTATACCTTCTGGTTTAGCTTGCAATAGCACAAACCTGCTGGAGGGAACAGTAACTATGGAAAATACCATACAGCATTTAGTTGGCCATCCCTACCTTCCAGTCCACAGTTTATCATGAAACACAACATAAATTTGTGTTTACTGGTATATTTAATTGTGAACACACATGTAAGAAAAATTAGTTCAGAGGTGATGGCCTGCTCACCTTTTGCTTCAACTGGATGCCAATAATATTCCTTTCATTATACAAAATCCATGATAGTGTACTTAGCTTTCTTGGGTCAGTGAATTGAATCTTTGGCAATCACATTCCTTATTGCACATTCTGCACCATAAGAAAGCAGGAACTAAATGTATAAAGCTCTGTTAAATTATGTCTCTATACAAAAAAAAAAAAAACCCTGTGGAGATACAGCTGCAATAATGCACCAAATCTCACGTTATGTCAACTACATATAAAATATAATGACAGTCATGTCCAAAACAAAACAGCTCAAAATATGGAATGACTGGTTCAAAATGCACAGTGTTATATGTGATTTACTGTATTTTGAAAGGCAGAATTTAAGTTCAGGATGTACTGGATATGACTGTCTCTATTATTCCAGAATCCCACTGCAGGTGTGACAAAACTCCAGACAAGTCACATGAGTTGTCCATTCCATCCTGTTCAGACCCAAACACACAAATGTGATGGTCAAAACATTATATGCATTTCTGAACATCATAAGATACTGGCATTTGAATCTCATACTGCAAAAAAACTGGAAGTCTCTAGCTACATTAACAATGCTTTTAGTACTCATTTCTGCCATAAAATGTATTACATAATATTTTCATGACATTGTTTAGGATAGGAATCCAGTACTATGAAAAATGTACCTCTGATAAGAGACCTCTAGAATCAAAAGTACTCCATCTGTACTAAAAGGTTCTTAAACTTATTAGTGAAGAAAATTTACCCTTTCAGTAGGAAATGTTTTTCACATTCTAATGATGGCTAGCACCCACTGTCATAATGTCACTAGACCAACACTCAGTCTAGTTTAATATTTAAATGTAATATTCAGTACAAGAAAATGGGTGCATAAATTATAACACAAATGATCTTGTGAAGGGAAACTTATCTTCAAATTAAAATAATAAAATTTAAGAGATGTTAAGCACATAGATTTGTCTAAAGTACATAATTTAAGGGGGCATATTTTATATTCGTTTTCCTAACAGTTATAATATATAGTATGGGAGCTGGGATAGCACATTCAGTATAATGACTGGCTATGAGTCTGGACTGAGGAGCTGGAGTTCAAGTCCCAGTAAGGGCAAGAATTTTCTCTTCTTCATGTCATCTAGACCAGTTCTGGGACCCATCCAGCCTCCTATCCAATGGGCACTGGGAGCTCTGTCCCTGATGGGTAAAGTGGCCAGGGTGTGAAGCTGACCACTCACCTTCAACTAGTGCTGAGGTCAAGAAAACATGAATCTGTACATCCACTCCCCCATATGCCTTCATGGCATAGTGCTTAATTAGTTAAGCATAAGGACAAATTTACCTTTTTCTACCTTGTCATAATACATAGCATACTTACCGCAGTAATAGTAGTCATGAAAATTCATTATTTTAAAAAATCATACTGTTTATAAACACAGTTCCTTGGTAAAAGTAAACTTCTGGTATGATATACAAGCATGTCAGTTCTTTCAGTGCAGTAATTATAATATTTTTGTTTTAATGGTCAACACACAGGAACAAGAGTGTAAATGTAATAGCAGTTTTAAGTTACTTATAATTTATGAACTGGAGATTAGCCACCCTTAATCTGCTGGATATGAAGACACATTTTGATCTCGACAACTTTAATGACAGACCAAAATGAAACTATTTTAACAAAGAAAAAGCTGGCAGTGCCAAGATCTAAAAGTGTTTTAATATCCTTGTATATGATCACACAGTTTACTGGCATGTTTCTTGGTCAACATGGATTTGCATTGCTCCAGTCTGTTGTGTGTAGGGGAATGCTGAAGACAAGATTCATATAAAAAATAACTCTTAATACACATCGTCAAATAATGCACCACAAAAAGTGCAAAAATTTCTAACCTAAGTTCCTCATTTCCTATTTGGTATGGATATGCAGTTATCCTGAATTTCTTTTGTAATACTATGCTACAAGCTTCAACACTGTTACTTGTTTTAGGTGGATATTAACAGCCTTTCCTCAATAGCACATTATGTACATTTCAAGGAGTGCCATCAGTTACAGAATATTGAAATAAAATGTATCCTTTGTTAAACTATAGTTTCAATCCAGAAACAAACATCAGAGATCTTCAGGAATGCTTCCTTGATTACAGCTGAGATACAGCCCTGTATGTGATGTAAGGACACAAGGTGTTTTCTTCTCACATTTTCTGGATGGATTAATTCACTGCATGAAATATAGTCATGGGACTGAACAAGGTGCAGGGAGTGGATCGCCTAGCTTAGCCAATGCATGCCTTTTCTCATTCTGGCCAGAAAAGCACTCGCCACACTTGCCTTAGGACCTGAACATTCCCAAAGTTATAACCTGCATAAAACAGTGGTTGCAAGGCAAGGAGAATATGGTCTTAGTTTCATTCTCAGCTTAGAAACGCCACAGAGTTGTCACGTGTTGAGACCCAGAGCTGAAGCACAGCACGGTGTGAATCACGAGTTAGTTCAGTGCAAGGTGCAAGAAGACACAGTAGTGATAGTACAGTGAAACAGTAGGGATAAAAATAAGCTGACATCAAGATCTTAGTGGCTACTGACAGTGGACAACAACTGTTCCAAAACACACTAAATGTTACAGTACGATGTATATTGTATTTCTGTACAGATGTCCTATGACTTTGTGCAGTAACTTCAGGAGGCAATACCTCAGCTCATTCTAAGCGTATGAGGTTTGACAATGATTCACCACCATGTGCTTGCCGTGGCAGCAATGGACACAAATCTCAGTATGGTTTCATGATGTTGGCATATCAGCGTTTCACAGCTGTGTTGTTGTAGATCTATGGTGGTCTCTTTTTGAGTGGCATCTGTTATTGTCTGAGTGTTTTGATGTGCCATCGCAAGAATGTTGGAGCTTGAATTAGAACAACAAATGAACATTAAATTTGTTAAACTTGGCAACAGTGGAACAAAATTAGAGAGATGTTAGTGCAAGTTTACAGGGATAAGCTATGAACAAAACAGCAGTTTACAGATGGGTAACATGTTTTCTGAGGGAAGAGAAAGTGTCACTGATGAAGAGAGATCAGGATGGCCAGCAACGAGCAGAACTGAAGAAAACATTGTGCATGAAAATCTTTGGCTAACTGTCAGGAGCATAGCAGAGCAAGAGAATGTCAACAGAGAAACAGTCTTAATTGAAGATCTTGACATGAGGAAGGTGTGTGCAAAAATGGTTCCAAAGGAGCTCATAGAAGAACAAAAGAAAAGAGCTGAAATTTGCCAAGACCTTTTGGAGAGGCAAGACGACATTTTGGGCCATGCCATCACAGGTGAGGAAACATGGGCCTACCGTTATGACCCTGAAACGAAGCAGCAAAGTGCACAATGGAAGACTGCCAATTCTCCATGACCATAGAAGTTCTGTCAGTCCAAATCAAGAGTCAAAACAATGTTGCTAACTTTTTTTATATTAGAGGGACTGTTCATTATGAGCTTGTACCAACTACACAGACAGTCAACCAAGTTTACTATTTGGAAGTATTGAAAAGGCTACATAAAAAAGTTAGATGGAAATGACCCAAACTTTTTGCCAACTCGTGGATCTTGCATCATGACAACGCACCTGCTCACATGGCACTGTCTGTGAGGGAGATTTTGGGTAGTAAACAAATAACTGTGCTGGAACACCCTCCCTACTCACTGGATCTAGCCCCCAGTATCTTCTTTCTGTTCCCAAAGATAAAGGAAATACTGAAAGAAAGGAATTTTGATGACACTGATGACATCAGGAGAAATACAATGGCAGCTATGAAGGTCATGCCACAAAACCAGTTCCAAAATTGTTTTGAAGGTGGACTTAGCACTGGCATCAGTGCATAGCTTCCCAAGGGGAGTACTCTAAAGGTGACCACAGTGATATCAGCAATGAGATATGTAGCACTCATACCATGATGAGTTCGCGAACTTTACTGTCAGACCACATAAAATGTTTTACCAACAAGATCCTCTTCTCAGTGGTTTCAAAGCTATGTGCATTTGAAATGATGCACACATGTGCACTGCAGGCATGGATGTGTTTATGCAAGCCAGGACACAAATAGCATGTGAGGTAGCTAAAATGACCACCACAATCACCAGACCACAGCCTCTCTCAGTACCATATATGGAGTCACAGGAAAAAAACAATGTATAAATGCAAGATGGACATGAGATGTATTACTTCAGTGAATTCTTTATGCCACAAGACACAGTTCTTCATAAGTTTGCGCATTTCCTAGTGAAATTAACCAAGCTCTGCATTCAGACTGATGGCAGACATTTTGAATTATTAAGCTATGTAAACTGTATGGGGGGCACGCAGTAGCATAGTTGGTTGAGCCACTATGCTACAAGCCGCAAGGTCACGGGATCAAATTATGATGAGGTGGATTTTTTCAATTTACCTAATCTTTCCAGTCGCACTATGGCCCTGGGGTCAACTCAGCCTCTAACAGAAATGAGTACCAGAAATATTCTTTGGGATAAAGGGCAGCCAGCGCATAAGGTTGACAATCTTACCACCATCTATGAGCCAACTGTCTAGAATATGTGGGAACCTCAACATCTCACAACCCTATGGGCCTCCATGGCCTGTTACAGGGATACCTTTACTTTTACTTTTATGTAAACTGTACAATTTATTCATTTATGTTTTCTCCAATAACAATGCCCTTTGAGTCAAGCTACATTTCAAATACATGTAGCTCTGAAAATGTTGAGAATAAGGCCTATGTTGATATAGAATTTTTTTTTACTCAGAATGCCCTTAGGAATTGCCTCAAGTTATGACACAGAGTCATGCACACCCTGGTATATAATTTTTTTCCTGGATCCTGTCCTGTTGTGATTTCATTGCATAGATTCAATTATGTGTATCTAAAATTATAGATAAACAAATCCATGTGATGACAAGCTCTGTACCATGCCAGCTATGAGATTCTGGAAAAATGGTTCTGTACTCTCACAGACATTACGTAGGCATTGCACTGTGACACAGTATTAATATAAAAAGAACAATTCAGTAATAGAATCATGACTCTCTTCCAAACTCATAAAAAACATTTTATTTTACATGACTAACACTGTTAGCAGTGATTTCATTCTCAATATAAAACAGGCTTTGTACAGACAAAAACATAACAACATAAATATAATATATTATCACAGTAAAACAATTAATGGTAAAAAGTTGCACTGCCATATTTCCAGTATATCCTAAAATAAATAAATTAAAAATGTGTTCATACAACATGTGACAGCAGTGAACAAAAGCCTTTTTTTGTGTAATAAATATAGTTTGCAACTACAAAGATTAATAATGCCATCTCTCCACTTTGATACAATGGTTAAAACCAAAGACTAAGGAAATACAAAAAGGATATAGTAACAAGAAGTCTTGGCATTGCTACAGAAAATGTTGAGTCTGCAATACCACACCTATACAGATAAATATACATTTTATTACAAAAAACATTATGCCAACGATACAAGGCATTAGTGGCATTATGACGATCCACACCAGTGGAGATTTTGCACTGTAAATATATGATCCCTTCTTCACGAAGAATTTAATGAAGAGAACACTGTCACAAAATTATGAATGATACAAATGCAAGCGTTGGCACTTGATGAGATGAGAATGATTCAAACTGTCACTACATCACTACTGACCATGTAAAAATTGGTTGCAGTACAAATATGAAGAAAATTGTTTCTCACTACACGAGCCTGATTTGCACTTTGACAGTACACCCCAAACATGGCCTGTAATGCACACTGGAATAATTCATCATCTTAAAAAGATCCCTACTTCTCTATTCCATGTGCAAGAGTAAAACTGTAAACATTTTTCTAAACTTTGTGACAATATACACAATAAAATATCACTGTTAAGACACTGACCATCCCTTGCTGAATGAGACAGTCATAAACAATGGACAATGTCCAACAATTCACAGACAACTGCTGTACACAATGATACAGAACAGCAGCATGGAATAGGGAACCCAAGACTCACGCACATTACTATGGGGCATTCATAGCCTACAACTGGAGGCAGTATAATATTTAATAATAATAATAATAAAAACTGAAAAGCAGTCTCATGTTGACATCCCAGCAAGCTCAGGAGACTGCAGAATGTGATCATATCCAGGAGTTGCACTTATTTCACTGCTCTCCAGACAGAACTTACTATTTGCTAGCTGATATTGTTGTTACCCATCAAGTGGAGGTCCGAGATACACCATGGATACCTCTGTGTTCCCATACACTGCCGACACAGATGGGTACAGTCTCTTGTCTGGCAGGCCTGACAACAGTATCAATAATGTATTCAGAGAAATCTTACAAGATCCATGTGAACTTGGATAATAAATGATACCTCCACTATGGTGGGATATTGTGAAACTGTGATGCCACTTAAATGTCTGCACATTCAGCAGTCTACAAAATGGTGGCAGACACTGAACTGATTTCCAACCTCTAAAGAGAACCAATATAAGTAATCACACAATCAGTTCAGAAATCTTCCCATTATTTCACAAGACATGTGGTAGCATAGTTGGTTGAGATACTGTGCTACAAGCCAGAAGGTCATGTGTTCGATTCCCAATGAGATCACTGGATTTTTCATTTACCTAATCCTTCCAGCTGTACAATGGTCCTGGGGATGAAGCAGCTTCTAACAGAAACAAGTACCAGGAGTCTTTCTGGGGGTAAAGGCTGGCCAGTGCATAGGGCTGATAACCTCACCGCCATCTGCGAGCCAACTATGTACAAAATGTGGGAGCCTTGACACCTCACAACCCTATGGGCCTCCACAGCCTGTTACAAGTATAGCTTTATCTTACCTTTTTTCGTCCACCACTTCACAGGTTCAAGGAGAATTATAACTACTCTGCAAGCATATTTTTGTGAAAATTTACAGTTTCCTGACTGAAATTGTTCACATATTATAGATTATACAACAGCAGTCAATACAGAAGCACTACAGATTTTAAAGGAAGGCACAATGTACACATGGTGAATTAAAACATGTCCTAACAGCAAAAGTTAAAATAATCCATGTATAATAATAATAATAAGACCATGGGGACCTGTACCTAAACATGAGACTTACTTAAGTTATTTAACATAAATCATTCTGACCTCTCCAATTCTCACAACCTGTCACTAAATTTTGGTTTCGTTTAAGGCTGGTGGCCATACCGCAAGAATATATAGGAAACAATTTATGGTTACTACTTCCCTTTTAATGCTTCAATCAATATGGTAAGGCTAGCAGAAACTGTGAATTAATAATCATGCAATTTAATAATCCAGCTGTATACAAAATTTTTACTACAACAAAATTTGAATAAGTTAAATTTGTGACAAAAACTTTAACTTGTCAAAGATTCATGGGCTTTCAGGGAAACATCAGGAAGACAATATTATGTGGTTTGATGTACATAACTACATCTATAAATTTGCTCAGAAAGCCAAAACAAATTTTACTTACCTCTAAATGCAACACCAAGGAACTCATAGTTTTTCTCAAAGGATAAAGTATTATCATCACAATCCAGGATAACTCTTATTCTTTCACCAACCTATAACATTTTGAGTGTAACATAATGAAACAATAAAATACTAATTTCATAATATTTAGGCTAGAAGTGGCCGCAGTACAAGGGGGTTAGTCCCACCCCACTAGCAATAAAAAAAGAAGTTCATAATATAATGCAACATACATCTGTTAGGATCTTAAAGAACATCACTAACACTCAAGAGGTCATTAACCCATCCAGAATTTTACGACACAATGACCAGGAGGGATTATACCTGTCACTGAATCTGAGATTTATTTAATTATTACACTTAACATAAATCACTGTAAGCTACTCAATATTAACTAGGAAATGAATTTGGGATTTACTTGGGGTTAGTAGCCCCATCATAACATACACATTCAATGTACTGTACATGTGCTGAGCTTTGCTTTTGCCTCAGAGCACTGCCTAAGTTAGTTTACTTAATTTATAAGTGTTTTTATTTAGTTTCCTCACATCCTCCTCTACATTCTCTCAGTAAACAGATAAGATTACCTCTGATCAGAGGACCACTGCAAGGGAAACATTCTCCAGTATTATGGTTTTCTCTGGAGCTTTTCATTTCTATGTATCTCTTGATTTAGGCTAACATAAAAGTTCAACACAGACTACCCCATGTCATTACGATATTAAAATAATGCACTCACTTTGACACATTAAATGCAACCTGATAATCATCAACTCAGTAAGAGGTTATATGGTGAAGTGATGATCAGTTCCTTCAGATTATTTCATTCAGAACTGTATCTGTCCCTCTGGAAACACTGTAACTCATAAACAATGTGGGACATAATGTACAAACCTGGTACTTTGGTGCATTATTAAGAAGTGGATAATTTCCCTGGGAATCTCCATTATGGAGAAGATGATTATCAACCAAGTTCCAACCCCAGCTCTGGTCGTCAGAACCTAACAAAGCAACATAACCATGACACTGTAACGGTGCTTCTTTAGTTGCTATTCCAATAACTGCAACTGTTCCAAGAGGTCCTTCCCATATCACTTCCCATGCATGCCTACCATGCCGAAACCCTATCTTCCCTCGCGCAGCGTCCGTACTTTGGGCCACGGGATTACGATGTAGTGTAAAACCACTGGGTTTTATATAAACGTTCCTTGAGCAGTCATTCGGGTTCCAGGCATGATAAAAAGCTCGTAATTTTGCTTTATACGTTGGCACTGATGATAACAAGTCCGACTTGAGGGCTTCCTCCGCCAACTTACGGATACAATGCAACCTCCACACATCATTGTTTTCGTCATTTAGAAACCTGTACCAGTTTTTACACACGAGAGAGCAGTTCCTGAGATCATGAAGGTCAAGATATGAAAATATGACTTCTAAAACATTATCTGCTAGCGTCGCTGCTATTTCTTCTACCATTTTGCCGGTTTCGACTGAATTAAGGAATAAAATTAGGAACGTCAAAGTGAACCAGTAAATGATTGGCCTACCCGTGGTGCATATCCGGTTCTTTTCGCATATTCCTTCATCCAGTTTCGAGTGGAAACCACGTGACAATACCTAACCAATCAGCTGTTTGGCTTTGTGCCTGCCGCCAAGCTCATCTCAGGTGTATTTGCACGAAACAGCTATATTTTCAAGATAGAATTTTGCGTCACCTTACAGTTTCTTTTGCTTTTATATTCACGGCGTAGGAGATTAGATATTGCTTTACACCTTTATGTGATCCAATATCGTTTTATCAAGGCATCTTTCGCTGAATTCGTCAGAAGAAATGTTGTGGTATCGCAGTCGCCATTTTGGTCTATCGTCGAAGTTTGACCAGATCGTTGGTTCTGTGATCCACTAATTTATAAGATATACAGCGAAAAGTACATAAAAACGTTGCTACTGTTAAGACTGGGAGGATTTAAAAATGACCCAGCAAAGTAACACAGTGAATTTCTTGATTCAAGACGCCAATGGTAAGTAGTAGAAGTTTAGCTTGTTATCGGTTCAGTGGGGCGAAAACGTTGAACACGAGTTGGATTTAGCTTTTCTTTATTTGTTATATAGTGTATTTTTAATTAAGTCCATTGCCTTAAGCTCCGAGAATGTTTTGAGATATAATGTATCAAATTTCCCAAGAATGATTAGGAAGTCTGTTGCACAACGCTTATATTAAATAAGTAGCGTTAACATTTAATTTAAATGACCTGGTACAGTCGAAGAGAATAACATGCATTCTTAATTCCTTTAAGAAGTTTGTTACTTAACAGTGTCAAGTGCATGCATCAGATTTTTCTTACAGAATGTTGCCGCTGTCTATTTTAATAGTGCTTTAGTATTACAGCAGGAAGGTGCCAAATTCAAACTCAGTTGTCAGCAGATCGCACTGGATAGATCTTCGGAATACTCTTAGACTGCTGTCTTTAATGCACATTAAACTAATAGTATTTTAACACCGCATATAAATAGTTACTTATGCGGCCTATACATCCTATCAAGCAGGATGGACTTGTATTACAGTTCATGACACGCAGCAGATGTTGAGAAATACAGTGTAGTCCCCTGAACATTTCCGTGATATAAAATAGGTTACAGTAGACTAAGTCATCAGTTTTCAAACATTTTATGCTTTGTATTCAGAAAGAGTTCTTGATAAACAGATATCCGGACCCCATAGAAGAAATCTGGAAAGCCTACAATTTAGTTTTTTAATTGTCATACAACTTCATTGAACCTGGAATGCCTTTATATTTGTCATGTGTACAGGTCGTTTCTGAGTTTATACAGGATAAAATACCATCGAGTTCAGTAAGGAGCGAAGGAAATTTCCATGTGGTTTCTTGATTAACCTTGAGGCTAATATTACAGATTAAGCAATTTAGTACTTTTTAATGGAACAGGTGGGTAAAAGTATTTCTCACCCAGTTATTCCTCTGACTCATTATTAGGGACCGGATTTTTATGCCCTAATAACCCTTTAAATATGTATGCATTTATGCATGGAAAACTTCCAAAATATGCACTAAAATATGCATATAAAAATTTGTACCAAATATTAAAATTGATTTTACATTATTTTAAGACCAGCAAATCAATATTTAAGTTCATTTTATGCAATCACTGAATGATTCACTTGCAATAAAAAGCTATACTTAGATACAAATCATGTAACAAAACCAACATACTTCATTACAAATTTAAAAAACCAATGGTACTCACATTTAGCTCTCCGAACATTCAACTTCTCTTCTGTTGCAGTTCACAGTTACTAAATGTTTTAGGTTTTCCATAGTTAGTCGCCTCGTATTGTCTTGTAAGATGCCTTTATAGCGGGTTAAAACTTCTTTCCACCTCGAACTTAGGAGCACGTGTACAAAAGCCGCTATTTGCTCCACTGTTAGTGATTTTTTACTTGGCAGTTCAGTACGTTTACCAGCTAAAATTGTATACACACGACCATGATTGAAAATTTGAACATAAAATTAAAAAATATATATGATAAACATTTTAAAAAGGAAATATGCAGTATAAATAGAGATCTTCGAAAATATGATGCTTATTCATAAAACAGGCAAAATATGCATTTATATGCACCATCAAACCATGTCCAAAATTTAAGAAATGAAGTAATTCATACATATGTCCAAACGAGCATACTTTCTGGTTGCAAGAAAGAAATATGCATTTGCATTAAAATCCGGTCCCTACTCATTATGTAGAAAATGGTGACATTTTGAAGATCCTGTGGCTGATGCGGGATAGCCCATAGCTTGCCTGCTTCTTCAAGAACAAGCATGTGAAAACATAATATTTTTGTCCTTAATCATTATTCTCTGACTTCCTGTTTATGAAATATATAAAAATGACTTTGGGTTTCATAGCCCTCATTGTTCTTGAAAATTATTTCTCTGGCATCCACTCTATGCTTGTACATAATCATACTTCTTAATTGTAACTGAAGTGGCTTGAAGTGCATCATAGACGTTTAAGAAATATTGTATGATATAGATCAGTTGTTCCCAACCTTTTAAGGTTGCCAAGTCGCATTAAGACATTCATGATTACCATATTGTTACGGATAGTTTCAAAATTATTGTTATTTATTCTTAGGTTTTTGTGGCTGTTATCTAATGTGTAACTTCACCTTTTGGCCATCAGCCATGTTGACTGGTGAAGGTTTTTAGCTTTAAAGATGGCAACTCTGATGTTTGCTGAAACACTGGAAAATCTTCATCATTTTAGAAGCCAGAGTTATAACAAATTTCACAACATAAATAAACGTGTATGTATGCAACAAAAGAATGAACGTTTCACACTAGTACAGGGATAATGCTCTAAATTTGTATTTGGAATATGTGTGGTGTGTCTTAGCTGCGAAACCAGCTGCTCTGGCAGGCTTTCCATGGTGATCCTGACTTCTTCCCGGCATATACCAAGGTAAAGGTAAAGTTGTCCATGCGCTTATCTAATTAAGCACTACACCATAAACACATATGGGGGAGTTGATGTATAGATCCACTTTTTCTTGACTTTTGCACTAGTTGGAGGTGAGTGGTCAGCTTCACACCCCCAGCTGCTCTACCTCCAGGGAAAGAGCATGTGGGAACTGCCCACATTCAAGCAAACATTACAGTAGGCTCTCACCGGGTCGATCTTTGTGAAGACGGAACAACTGAAAAGTTGGTGGGAGTAGTCATGGATATCATGGACAGGGTAGCAGTTGGGGATGGTTCAGGCGTTTAAAGCTCTGTAGTTGCCACAGGGATGCCACACATTGTACCCAAGAAGGACAACAGTTGGCATCCCTGTGGACTATACCTGGCCCTCCAGTCACCTGCCAACCCCAGCGACTGGCACCAGACCGACTCACTATTGCCAAAACCGAGTTCGACGCCATGTTATTGGATGGCACAACTCGCTGCTGAGAGAGTTCCTGGTCTTCCATGCTACACATTGGTGACCCCGACAATACAACACAAATAATGGGCAGCGGTTGAATAGAAGACCTCCTGCAGCAGTATGTAACACAGATGGAGAATTTACAATGAGAACTGTGTACCAGATGAGAATAGGAAGACCAAAAAGAAGAAAAACAAAATGATGCCGGTATTGCAAACAGCCCAGTACCAACAGAGATATCAAGCATTGCTGTGCAGCTTCCGCCATTCTGGGCTGAGAGACCAGCAGTTTGGTTCTCTCAAGCTGAAGCAGAATTCACTTTGGCTGGCATCTGTAGTGATCAGACCAAGTTCTGCTACGTGATCTTGCAGTTGGACCAATGTTATGCTCCAGAAGTAGAGGATATAATCATCTCTCCACCAGAACAAGACCCCTACACAACACTGAAGACCGAACTGGTGACTCGTCTATCCCTCTCAAGAGAGCAACACATCTGCCAGTTCCTTAAACTTAAGATGGGAGACTGCAAACCATCCCAGTTTTTAAGGCAACTCAGGAGCCTTGTCCCTGACGTGCCAGACGACTTCCTCCACAGTATCTTGTCCAGCTGGCTACCCCACAATGTAAGGTCCATTCTTGTTGGCCAACCCGAGGGTGACTTGGATGACACAGCGCACAGTGCAGACCACATCATCGAGGCTGCACTACAGCCAGTGCTCATGAGCGTCACGCCACTCCCCGACAGCAACGCACTTATGCAGCGGACCAAGGACCTCTCTTGCCAGGTGGCAGGACTCAGCACTGAGCTGACCCACCTCTCCAACAAAAGGGATCTCTGCCCCAGCTTCAGAAACCACTGCTTGGACAGCAGATCTCCTTCCCAAGATAACACTGCACCCACCCTCTGCTGGTACCATCGCTGCTGCAGAGCCCGGGCACAAAAGTACGCAGCCCTGCTCCTACTGCCAACAAGAAAAATTATCACAGTGGACATCAACGGCGGCACATATCCCGGTCTCTCAAGGAACGCAAACAGTATCTATGGTCTCTCCTCGACCAACTTCAGAGATATGGAACCCTCATCAACCCGGTGATAGGAATCATCTGAGCACCCAAGAGCACCTTCCTCAGTTACAAAGTCTCTACCAAGGGTTCCCAGCTGCTGGGAGAACGATTACTCTGTCTACAAAATGGCCAACTTGCATTGTCACTGTAATGTTTGCTTGAATGTGGGCAGTTCCCACATCATCTCCCCTGCAGAGATGGTTGCTCAGCTGCTGAAGTGATCAGGGAAACATACGTTGCGTCTGGAGCGTGTATTTCGTGCGACGGGTGATGGTGGTGCCGCGGCCGGTGCTATGTCAGCTGCGTGGTTGAAGGTGGAGGTGGTGCAGTTGGTGGGTTCACCTCGGGGTTGATTTTCTTTGGGTAGAAGGTGAGGGGCTGTCAGGGGTTCTTGATGCTTTGCTGCAACACAGCACCATGGTACCCATTGGATAGGAGGCTGGGTGGGCCCCAGAGCCAGTCTGGACAACAGAAGGGAAAATTCTTGATCCTATCGGGACAACCCCATGGTTGTCTAGCCCATATCCCGTCACCATACCAACTGTGCTATCCTGGCTCCAAGATATGTGTATATCATAAGGTATTACCTCAGTAAGGCCACTATGACATTCTTCCAAATCCTTTGCAGTTCATCATCCTGCCATTCAATTCTGTAATAGTCTAGATACTAAAGATGCCATTAAATGAATCACAATAAATACAAGTTCTATAATGGAGTCATGTTTTGTTTTATGAGACACCTGATGTAGGATCTCACCAGTCAGCTTACTATAAGAAAGAATGTACTTTATCAGCTACAGAGATGCAAGTTCATATCTGTTACTGTTCATCTGTATTTTAATTTTAGTATTTGTATAGCGGTTTACTGAAATAAGTATAACCAAAACATGCATTTATTATGAATGGATCACTTTTTCTGGAAGTGGAGAGTTCTGGGTAGAAATCAAGTATACAGCTTGCTTAAGTGTTGCAGACTTCAAGGGCAAGAAATGATATGTTGTTAAAATCCTGTTTAGGTATTTGTGATTAATTAGTGTTAAATTTGTTGTTATTTTGGGGTACTTGCAGTGATGCTTTCACTATTGTGAATATATGGCATCGGACGGTAGAATGACTGATGAATAATTTATAAAGGATGTGGAAGGAAGAGATCATGGCCTGATTGAGGTACTGTTAAGGCATTTTCCTGAAGGTACCAATGAAAACCATGAATAATCTCAGTTAGGACTGTTTGTGACCTGGCTGAGATTGAAAGGAGTATGTCCTGAATACAGGTTTAGAGCATTACCTTTGCCAGACCTGTTTGGTGGTGTCAGAATTGTCATTGTCTTTATTAGATTTGGCTCTTGGCATACGGTTATGTTTGTGCTGTGATATGCTCGCAGCCAGATGTTGTTAGACAATATGGACATTAATAAAGATGTTTCATTTGGTGCATGTCAGAGCATTTTAGAGAAAATAACTTGTCAAGTGTTTTGGGCCTTATACCTACCATATAGATTTAAGGTGTGTGAAATCTAACGGGATTCAGTATTCATATTTCATGAATATTGTCCCTGTGTAGAAGTGTGCTCCCTGTGTGAGAATTTTATGATCCTAAAGGAATGTGTCACCAGAGTGGTCATAGTTCTATCTCCCATAACAGGTAACTCATGAGGTGGTTAGTGTTTAAGTGGAGAGTCTGAACAGGTGACCTAAGAAAATCTTTTTTAGATGCAGTTAGTGAGCTTAGCAAAGATGCCACCCATCTAAAAATGATGTCTTGCTCAAGATTCACTAAAACATCCGCAAGATTCAGTTGATGTTTGTTCAAGGCAACTGAGACAGTATCCTCAGGAAGGACCTGCTAAGAGTTATGCTGATGCTGTCAGTTGTGTAACTTCCCATATTGCTACCTCAGTCAAGGAATCTACTGACGGAGGAGTTAGTTTAGTAACTATTAAGAAGATGGTGTTGCAAATAAGGTTTCTGATAAGTTCTGTCAATCCAAGAAATCTAAGGTATCTGTGAATGTGGTTAGAAATTCTTCAGCGCCCTTTGGCATTACCAGAAGGGCTAAAATTATCATTATTATTTTGTGCCCCATTTTAGTCTGTACATAACTTTGCAGGATATTCAGAAATATTTAGAAAGTGAATATTGCCTGCCTTGTCCTGTACAAGATTCAAGACAAACATTATTCCATACTTCTGTCAATGAAAAAGATTTTCTGTTCATAAAAGACATTTGTGTATAGTTGACTGGCTGCTTAATTGTGCCGTTTTATAGCCACCTAAACTCTTATAAGAGCTACGCACCTGATTTCCTGTTTTACTAGTATTTAACTATTTAACGAATGTTGGAGTCCTATATCTCTTCCCATCACTTCCACTGGTGCAAATAGGAATGTCTAATATTGTAATTGGCCGCAGGTGAGAGAAAGTTCGTGATATATTCAAGGCTAGTGCTGGATTGTGATAATTTCCATTAACTGGGATAAGATCACCAGCAGTTCTATATTACACTCAACTGTCTATTATCCGGGATAATGGTGGGGATGGAAATCACGATTAATCGAAAACCCGGTTAAGACAAATTTTGTTAAAAGTAGTACTGTAATACTGTACCTTCATAATACTATAAGCCTACCTTTATTTAAATTTATTCAACCTCATTTTTATGTCATCTCATGGCCTATTTAATATTTTTTTTTTTACATTACACTGACATATGAATTAGTTATTTCAGTCACAGTGTTCAACAACATCCAACACTTTATGAATATTCACACTTAACGCTTAAAAAAATTTAATATTGTCATTTGCTTTTTCGCTGCATTTTCCTTTTTACAGATATCCTTATGAAGCCTACTTAATATTAGCTTGTCGCTTAATAAACTGTTCTCTTCACTCTCAAGATAGTCTAGTAAGGATTCCAAATGATTAAGAGCAGCACCATGTGATATTTTCTTACTAGCAGCACTGTCCACCTCTTCCTCATTCTCACTTTCTTCCCACTCTTCTGGCTGCACCCCCACTGAACTTACGATTTCGTCACTGCTTAACATTTCGAAGCCCGGCTCACACGAGTCACAGTCAAACCACTTTCTTATATTTCCCCCGTTGACTTCTTCACCACCATGAACTTGGTTAGCCAATTTTGTCAATTATATGGCTATCTCATTTTCACTGAATCCAGTGAATCCTTGGATTAATTGATTCTTTTGTTTTTTCAAATCACGAACAGTTTGTTCTCCAATACCGTATTGCATTGCTAATTGTTTAACTACACCTCTTTTTCCCAACTTATCGATAATTTCAAGTTTCTGTTGAATACTTAACACAACATGCTTCCTTTTACACCCTGACAGTTTGCTAACACACTTGAAGATTGATACAAAGAGACTAACTGGGGCGGTATATGTGTCCTTGAAACTTTCCACAAATCCTTGCATTCTTTCGCCCTACCCTAGAACATTGTGTTAGCATAACGGAACCAAAAAAATGCAGATCTCGGTTCACACTAGTGCGAAAATAGTTGTACAACTCACCATGTGAAACAGAAGTGAAGGAATATTAAACAACATATAAGCCTCAAAAAAGCCCTAGTAGCCCTGGTTAAGCCGCAAACCGGTTTATCTGCCCCCAGATAACCGAGAGTTGAGTGTATATCATTAGTAAATGTTGTTGAATTACGTTCATTTCTCGTAATTTATGTTAGACCAAATTAAATTCCTAAATTATGCCACATCACTGAAACTTTAATATCTTGCATTAACGAGTGGTGCTGTACTTCCCAAATATGCTTTTATGCATGACCGCTTTCTTCGTGTGTCATCTGCGAGTATGAGAATTATGAACTCGGTTTTAGAAGTTAGAAGCATGTGCTTTGGGCTAATACAAAAAGTTCATCTTGCTTTCAGGACAAGTCATCAAGGTTGTTCAAACAACACCAACAAAGCCACAGCTGGTTACCTCAGCTATCACTAACCAAGGAGCAGTAAAAGCTATATTTAAAGCTCCAACTCAGGATGGAAGCCAGGTGTGTTGTTTTATATCTAATGAACGGTGTTTGTGCTTTCTTTCTGATGCACCAACATTTCCTCCTAGGATAGAATGGTCCAAGTGTGAAAGGTAATGCTCTTCTTCAGCAGCAAAGAGTAGAATGCATGCATTCTTATAGCCACACCTTCATGCACTTTCTGGAGTAGATGCTTAAGGACATTGCAAATTTAACCACAATACTGATGTTTGTATACAGATTTTTCCAAAGTCATTATTATACAGGGAGGATTTTTACTTTGTTGAGTGGTCTTACGGCACCCAGGTTGCCGTTTGCTGTGAGATGCATGCAAATTTTGCCTGATGCCTGCACCTTGCGGCATGCCGTATGCGAGTTGCCGTGAAGTGTGGAGTTGTTAACTGATCAACAAAGTTAAAAAACTCTCTGTGCATTAAAACTACTCAACATCTGACTGCAAAGTTTGGTTTTGATCTTCAGAGATAATACACACCAACTGAAAAAGTATCATGTAGTTACTAGATATAAATTTGATTTTCAGAATTACTGGGTTTTCGGACTTCATCCATCATCCGGTATTCTAAAACCTAGAAAAAAACAGAGTTTTGTAAACTGGATCTATTTCCGTTGTCAGGTGAAGGGGAGACACCTACTCTGTTGGGATCCTTAGAAAGAGCCATCCTCAATCACTGGACAGTCCATGTCAGATTCATTACAGTTAGTTAAATACTGGACAGTGGACAAACTACCAACTCCATGGTTTTAATCCACAAACGAACTATACCACAGAGTCTGAAAACCTAGTAATTCTAAGTTTTATACACGTTCATCAGAATCCTTTAGAATCTAATAAACTGATTCAGTTCATGTAGTCAATTTAAATGTGTTGTAAGGAATGAGGTTAATAGTGTCACATGGCATGCTTTGACATGCACCTTACTCATGCATTTTGTGTAGTCACATTGTGTACATTCAGAAAATGAGGGTTCCATTCTTCATACTCTAGCACAATATAAATTTCCCATAAATGTCATTTGCCAAGTTTGGGGAGTTATGTTCCTTAAAAATTCAACCCAGTTGGCAAGACCAAGGCCAATTTTGCCATTAGAGAAACTGGCAGCTGCTGCTAACATCATCAAACCTAAGTTCCACTAGCCAGAAGATACACAACAGGTTCAAAAATGAATTATGCATAAACTGTAAAAGTGTAACAAAAAGATGATCTGAAATGGTCATGTGATCATAAAGCTGAACATTACAGGTGGTAGAACTGGTTACAAATGGAAGGCTATGTGTACTTAAAACTACATGTTTAACCAACCATCCTGAAATTGTAATTGAAGAGGTAAGCCCAATGCCAGAAAAGCCTTCGTTGGAATTACTTTATACTGAACATTTGACTCAGATGCTTTGATGTCAGACAGTATCTTTTTCATGTCTCTATGTTATATTCCGAACATGTCGTTCCAGAAGAAGTTACTGTCATTCAGAATTGTGTGTGCACACACACACACACACACTTTTTTATATGCATTATTACTTTGAATCTCACTTTATTGGAATTTTCTTATAAAATGAATAAATGGCTTTTGAAATCTTGTTACTTTTTCACATATTCTCATGGGTACATAAACTTACCTGCAGTTAAAGTTTCTAGGACTTAGGGCATGTGTTAGTCACTCACCTTAGTTGCTTTTAACCCTCAAAAATTTGGAGTGCTATATTATCATGGAAACATCAAACCTGATACTCTTAACACTTCTTGAGAACTGTGAGCATTGAAAGAACAGTTTTCACAGTCATCTGGCTCTCCAGTCCCAAGTACACCAATTTCTTGCCAACCACAGATTACCCATGGTGTTTAATTTCTATAGAGTTTTGCCAACCATGATGTTTGTTTTATATAGCTTCAGTTTATCATAGTACATGTTGCTTCTGCACAGTGTGATCCACATTTGATGAGGACAGGGCTCAAATGACATCTGTAACCATTTTCTAAATTTCAGGGATTATCGTTGCAGTGTGTTTATGACAATATGTTGTATATTTTCTTAAAATCTCTGGGTTTTTTTTTTTAATAAAAGTTAACAGCATTTTAATAGCTGTTTGTGAGCAGCACTAGCCACAGATCCTGTAACTTAGTATTTCTCATAGCCTTGGTCTTGCCAGCTGCCTTGTTCTTCAGGAACATAGCCTTTGCAATTTGGGGGGGATTGCTATGCCATATAGTTAATGTTTGTGTATTTTCAGGTTTTATTTAACTTTTTCTCATGATTATTCAGAAACTCTATGAAAATAGTGTGCAGTAATGTAGTGAAATGTATGTGTGCGTGTGTGTATACTGTGAACTGTGTCTTTGTTGCATGATACTTAACATCTCATCAATTTTTTACAGGGTGCCACAGTTCTTACTTCTGGCGCTCAGGTTCTTCGTACTCTCAGCCTTCAGAGCCCGAAAACAACAGCACAAAGTATGTTCTGCAGTAATAGTTGCTAAGCTAATTTAGCAGTTTGCATGCATGTACGAGCATGTGTTCACATACACATCTTAGTTTACATATGATGGTCATGCTGAAGATGATGCTGTGGAGTTCTTAGAGTAAAACAGTAGTGGGATAATGTTCATGATTCATTCTGATAGGTGACACAGTGGTAATTAGCAAAGTTGCATCATCCAGTAGCCTGCATAACAGACAAAGAGTAGGGACTAGATTTCTGACTGTAGAGGGAGAATCAGAGGGTATTATTCTGACAACATTTTGGAATTGAAGTGATATTCTCTGTATTTATATTTATTCATTTATTGCTGTATGAATCTTTAATGCTTTGCTTCATTGTTGAAGTAGAGATGCTAGATGGCATCAGTGTGCTTTTGGCAGAACTTTAGAAATTCACATCTTTCCAAAGTACAATGACATATTGCTCAAAAGATGTGTTTTACCATTATTGAAACACCAGGGAATTTTGAGATTTGAAGTTCTCAAGAGCAGTGAATATTAAGATTATGATTTTCTGAAATATCACACTGTGGATCTACCAGACTAATCCTAGGGAATTTCTTGATATGTTGAGTAACCACTATCCTCTTGATGAAGAGTGTGGAGTTAAGGTTGAGATACAGTATCATGTTTGAGCATTTGGAGAGCATGAATAACACGCAAGGAGGCTTCTTGGCCTATGTGAAGAGCAGGTGACGAAGAAAGGCAGAGAAAGTAGTTATGGTCTTTTTTTTAAGTGATTGTGTCCTGAGATTTGAAATTTGTTTGGCAGAAGTGAATATCAGTCCCAAGTTCTGAACAAAGTACCACACAAATGAAAACCTGGAATGCTTATACCTTGCCTTGTCTTTAGAGGTTGTGATTCCATGAACATGACATTAATCTGTTGAACAGGAGCTCCACATGTTATGACAATACCAATTCAGTCAGCTAATCCCATGAAAGTTTCAACACTGAAGGGGTCAGAGCCAACATTGTTACCAAAGACGATACACTTAGCATCAAATCCAATGGTAAGTGTAACTTGACCGGTTCTTATTTCTTTACTTTTTGACATAGGAATATTTTAGTATACTGAATACACAGTAGCATTTATTTCTATCATGTTCAATGTTAATATTCGTGGCACATTTGGCAGGTGTTAAGTGCAACACAGAGGCTAGCAGCTCAGCATGTTCTGCCATCAAATCCGCCAAAGAATTACATTTCACCTATCTTGGATCACAGTGGGTCACGTAAACGTCAAGAAATGGAGAATGACTTTATACCTGAGTAGTAAGTGATTTTAATTAGCATTATTGTCATAAAAATTCAGGTAGTCGAACTTGAGTAATAGTGTGTGTATTTTTGATATACAGTACATAGGTTTAGGTTTTTCAACTATCATGACATCATCTGTTGTTTACAGTAAACGAAGGAAGACTGAAAAAGTTGGAAAAGGCCTCCGCCATTTTTCAATGAAGGTGTGTGAGAAAGTCCGTAAGAAGGGCACAACATCTTACAATGAAGTTGCTGATGAGTTAGTTGCAGAATTTACAAATCCTTCACTTATGACATCACCAACAGATCAGGTAAATTTCAGAGATTCTGTCATTATTCTGAATGGACAAGATAGGCAATAATTGCACATCAAACCAGCCATAAAAAAAATATGTCTTCATTCCACTCATTATGATAAGGAGTGTGTATAAGTGTGTATGCAGCAAATTTTTAAAAAGGTGATAGAGTGATGTACAAGACATTGCTGTTACTGGCTTCAAAATAATTATGTATACACATTATCATAAATTGTGTGTCTAGTTAAGTGAACGTTCTGAGGTTGACAGTTTTAATGAAAGTGTATCACAAGTAAATTTTGTATATAAATACTTCATTATGTTTGTGTGTTTGAAATATCTAAGATTATAATGAGAAGATAGGCAGAGTATGCAGTATATCTGGAATAAACACATATTACATACACAGGGTTCTTGGAAATATGATATACCTTATTTACTCTCATAATTAAATACTCCTGCTTTTAGAAGAGAAATTTCAGAAAATAAAACTAAGTAACAAATCTTTAATTTTGATTATAAGCCACATATTTTTGGTCAAACAGATATGACAGTAACTGATCATGTAATTTTCAACTTCACATACTGACAACCATCTGACTTATATACTAGGTGGTTCAAATATGACCGGGACTGATTTAAAAAAAAAAGAACATAATTGCCAAACACTTACTTGCACATGTCAGTCTTCAACGTACTTCCCTCTGGAGTCAACACATTTTTTCCAACTTTCTGGAAGCATCCTGATGCCCCCCCAAAAAAAAGACTTGTGGTTGGCGGCGTATCCACTCCTGAACAGTCTGGATGATGGCGGCGTTGTCCACAAACCACATGCCTTACAAGTCTGATTTGAGCCTTCCGAACAGGTAGAAATCACTTGGGGCCAAATCGGGACTGTACGGCTGATGTGTCAGAAGGTTCCATTTCAATTTCCGAAGGGTTTCCATTGTTATTTTGGCCGTATGGGGGCGTGAATTGTCTTGAAGGAAGGCTATCAGCTTTCCACCTGTCTATCGCTTGGATCGGATCTTACTCCAAGTTCCTTGATAGTGATGCGCCTATTCTCACGAATAGGCATGTCTGCATGATCAATGTTCGGCTTGGTGATGGATGTTCGTGGCCAACGATCATGCGGTTCATTCTCCACGTGCTCTGCCCTCTCTGAAGCACTTACACCACCCAAACACGTGGATCCGTGAGAGACACTCTTCCCCATACTGTTGTTGGAGTCTGTGGTGAATTTCAGTGGACTGGACGTTTTCTCCAATGAGGAATTTGATCACAATATGTTGTTCCACACTCCGCGGTACCTTCTGTTCTCTCATCACTCTAGCAACTTCCAGACAGGACTGAACAGGTTCTAAACCTAACAGGAGGGAGGGTGGAGGTTGTGGCTTCACTCTCTCAAGGTCGCACAGCTGCTGCGCAGTGCAGCTTGTCTACAAAAAAATCAGTCCTGGTCATATTTGAACCACCTTGTATTATCAGGTCAGAGGAATACATATTAAGACTTCAGAAAAATGCACACTACACTTGATTTACTTGTGAAATGCGGCTACCACTGTTGATTTCT